GAGATATTCACCCCTGCAGAAAAGAAGGGAGAACAAAGTCAAAAATATGTTCGGAATTGGCATAGAACTTGGTAAGTAAAGACAGTAACAAATTACGAGTGTTAGCGACATTTGTATCCATCGAAAATGATCATTATATAACTCGTTAATTTCCCATAAATGTTGACATTCTCCAGCAAACTTTGAAACAACTTGATAAAATCTGTAAATTGCCAGATTTTGGATTCTTCGAATAAAATCTGTAAATTGCCAGATTTTGGATTCTTCGACACATTGTCGGTAGATAATATACTCGAACTCTGTGAAAACCTATGTTTTAAAAAGCGCATCTAGACGGGAAACGTGATGAAAATGTTTCGCCGCCTAAACGGGACTTAAGCGGTCAACATTGTTATTGACCGCTTAATGCTCGTCTAGGCGTTCCTAGGCTCGCCTAGTTATTAGGGACGCTTAGGTGCGCATCCGCCTCAATGGCCCTTTTCTATTACATTATATAAGACTTTACATGCATTTTAATTGTTTTTAATCTCCAAATGGTGAATTATTATTTCATTTTCATCTAAAAAAATAATTTTTCTCATTCATCCAACCCTCAATAAATTAAATTTTAATCGAATCTTCTCACTACATCATTTACTGTTAAATTGTGACAAGCAAGCTGACCATGTGGCGAATAAGGGGGCCCAATTTTTTCTTTTTTTTTAAATAAAACCTCAATCCATACCCAGTAGTCCGCTATCCCTTCAAACTTTAAAAACTCGAAACTCCAGAGAACTGAGAAGACAGAAGAACGGGAAAAAAAAAAGATTGAAGAAAGGCGCAAAATCTTTCAATTTTTTCGCACACCGCACTGATTTGGGTATCATGTATGTATAACATTAGGAGCCCGAGAATGATGATTTTGTATCAAATGATATGAGGACGAATTAGATGAAAAAATGATATTGAATTGCAGTCCGATAAAGAGTTAGATTAAATAAGATTTAAGTTACAAGTTATCTACGCTATGTAATTATGATTTTGAAACTTATCTTTATGTAGGAATTATTAAGTAAATATAGTATTTTATAATTTTAGATGTTTGGTATGTATTATTTGAATTATTGAATTTTTTTACCATGATTAAAAATTTAAAATAAAAAACGTTTTTTTACGCC